ATATATATACATACATATATATATATATATATATATTTTATCAAATTCTCGATGACACGTGTAAATATATACATTCAGTAGTTCTAAAAATTATATGGATGTTTGATTTATAAATGTTAATGTTTAAGTGTTTTGTATGTAATCATCCCTTGAGAATATTAGAAGATATAAGAGTATGAAAAATATGAATTATCAAAAATTCTCAAAAAACATTTAATTACGTCAAAACCCTAAATTACTATGAAAAATATGAATTGTATTGCATGCGTATAATTTTTTTTTCCCATATGTATGAATGTAGGAAGCAAGAGACAGGGAGAGAACTAAAATGCTGCAGTTTCTACTACCATATTGTAGGTAAAAAGTTATAGAATGTATATATGATTAAAACATGTCATTCTAGATAATAAACTTATATTTCTTGTTATGATTTGATTAGCTCCGCTAATTAATTTTATTTTTTTTTCTATGAGATATTTTGTTAGTGATTCTAGCCCCTGGTAAGATGATGGGTATAGTCTGCACTATCGACTTAGATATTAATTGATTGAACCTTTATTTTGACAGAGATTTGAGGATGTCACGTAATGTGTGAATATGAAGTATTTGTTGCTCGCGTGATTGAGGGTCTATTTAGGGCAGTTACAGTTTATCCAGCTTATATTGATTAGCTGCTGATCAACAGTTGATTTTGATAGGTTAACTGGCTGTTTGGTTTGTGCTTTTGAAAAACAATTGATTTGCAATTATTTCTGGATAAATGATTATATTGTCTATGTGCATACATAATATCGTTGTGTATACATTAAGAAATAATCACAATAGAGAAAAAAGAATCAAAGCTTACAAAAAACATCTTATCAATTTACTATATTCAACACTTAAGAATATAAAAATATTCTTAAATTTAATGTTGGCTGATTAAAAAAATATTAAAAAATCCAATGCTCGGGAACTCTTCTCCGGTGCCAACAAACTCCTCTACAGTTCTCAAAGCATAACTTCCCCAATCCAACTGTTCTTCTCCATTGCCAGCGAAACTGTTTCTTCTCCAGAAAAAAGCATCAAGAAAAAAACAGGTGTTCAAGTAAATCCACACTTGAATTTTATGTGTTAAAAATTACATTAGATGGTGAAATCATTTTTATGAATGATAGAATTGTGTCAAAATCATTCCATTGCTCAAGACATTTGAAAAATGAAATCCAAAAAAAAAAAGCGGCAGTGATTACATGAGAGGTTGAGTTTCTGAGGACACAGACTGGAGAAGGGAAGCTTTGCGGACGGCGGCAAATGAGTTTCGTTAACACTGAAGAAGAAGAGTCATATTGGCGAAGAAAAGCTTTAAAGAGGTATGAGGCAATCAGATTTGGAGAAGTGTCTCCTGGAATGAAGAGGTGTGTCTGCAGGTGTGAAGAGGTGTGTCTTGGATTAGTAGATTGGGGGGAGCGAGGGCGTGTTTGTAAATTTATCTGTGGGTTTTATCTATAAATAGATGTGTAACCCTATGGGTATGTAACTCATCTGAAATAGTGAAATTCGCCGCTCAGCTCCCGATGATGTAAACATATTTGTCAAACCTCGTTAAATCTCTGTTTTCTTCTAGTTTTGTGTCAATTTCTGTTTTTCTTCGTCCTAAATTTCACAACACGTTGCATATAAACGGTTTCACTTAAAGCCCCATGAAGAAACATGTTAGATACATTAAGCTAAAAGATAGGTCATTGTTTCACAAATGTTATGGTAAATAATATTTGAACAGTGGGCAGTTTGGCGACCGGGCTGGAGATATTATGATAATTAACTCTCAACTCTTATTTGTACCATTGAGTAACTCATCGAGCCTCTTAACTAGCGACCAAATCATTATAGTTCAATTTAGTGCTTTAAGTCCGGTGATAGCCCATGATTTGTTGATTAGCAAGTAATGGTACTAATTCTATTATGATTTGGTGACTGCCTCTAACCAATTTTGTCTTTTCTGCATGTTGTCATCTTAGTGTTTTCAATTTGTAATATCTCGCAAATGATTTTAATGGTATAAGTTTAATGTAATGTTTGACATCGCTAATATTAACACCTAATATTAATGTTAAGCTGAAAATCAGGCTATATATTTGAAAATTTTTAAAATATACACATATAATTAGCTTAGATTAAAATAAATACTTACAAAAAAAATTAATAATAATTATAAATTAACAAAAAAATGAAAAGATATAAACCGTTATATTGAAAAATAAATTTGCTTAACATTTTTCGCAAATCTTGTATGACGGCCCGCCAACTGAATTTGAAGCTTCTTTCTCTTCATGACAACTTTCTTCTTCCTCTCTCCCGCAAGGCAATCCCATCCCTTTACCTTTCAAAAAAAGGAATGGATCAAATTATTTATGGGAATGTCCGCAAGCGACTTGGTAAGTTTGTGTTGACCTCACTTTTGGTTGAGGTCTAGAAAACTTCTTTAGTAGCCTAGGTCTAGCCATAGGACTTTCCTATTGACTAGTCTTAGAAAACTAGAAAAGGTACCCCCACCATTAGAAATTCAAAACTCTTCTTTTTACTCAACTTGAAATTCCACATATTGATCTTAACCTCTAGCATTTAGTAGGTAAGATCATTATAAGAGAATTCAAGAAGAATCCCTATAGGATTACTTGACTTTAGGGTCGACCCTGGAACTAGGATACACCATATCTTCA